TTCCAGTGGAAGGAGGGTCGGTTCTACCCTGACATCACAGCAGATTTCCTTCAACATATTTGCTGTGAGATCCCTTACTTTGTCATGCCTCATGCATATGAAGCCCCCTTTCTTGCACACCATGGCGTACTTATTTTTACACCACAATAAGGCTTGCTAAGACAAATTACGTATCTCTACTTGGGCCCCCCCCAAATTTGCGGGTTTTGGGTTCTCAAAATGGCCGCGAATCACCAAATCCGCAAATAACATTTGCAGGCCGAGGGGGGGGGGGGGTACATTTTTGCTTGTGTACAAAGAAATGTATTTTTCCTCTATGCATTTGCCCCAAGGACATTTATTTCTTTTACCTGTAGTATTGTATGTGTGTGTGTGTGTGTAGACACATACAAATAAATAATAATTGGAAAATCCTCTCACAAATATTCAGAAACAAATTTATTAAAAATGTGACAGTCTACCCCCAAGTCCGTGCTCTATTAATAAAGTGATAGAGCACGGACTTGGGGGTAGACTGTTACATTTTTAATAAATTTGTTTCAGATTATTTGTGAGAGGATTTTCCAATTATTATTTATTTGCATGGGTTTTGTGTGTGTGTGTCTACACACACACATATTTACAATACAGGTAAAGGAAATTACTGTCTCTAGAATGAATGGCTCTCTGTCCCAGCCGCAAAAATTCCGGCAACTTTAAAACTACCCACAGACATTCTTGGGTACATTCAGGGTGTCATCCGCGAATAACCGAGAACCGCGAAGTATAAGTCCGCGAACTTGGGGGTCATACTGTAATAGTGTAATACAGTACAGTGGTCCCTCGATTAATGAACACAATTCGTTCCAGGATGTCGTTCGTTAACCGAAACCATTGTTTCAATGGGATTTTGGGTAAGTTCCAGCTCACCGAAAATTACATACAAACTAAAAAAAAATGCAGTAAAGTACACTTACTTTGAGGTTTGTATGTAGAAGGCTCCTGGTTGATGATGATGATGATGATGATGGGAATTAGAAGTGGGGTGGAGGAGATGGGAGAAGAGAAGGAAGTGGGGGTGGAAGAGAAATCACCCCATGCTTGATGCCGTCATTTCACCCATAAAATTTAAGTTCACTAGGTGTAATTCAAGATTATTTTCTTTAAATCAACACGGCACTATATATTGTCAATATATTAAATAAATTTCAGAATGACCAATAATTGTATTGTAAAAACGTAAAAAATACTCTGTGTTCAAGAGACCCACAAGCAAGATGTTTCCTCCGCTGAACAGAGACACAAAATGAGGCCTTGGTGGGTGAGTGAAGTGGCTGATTGGCGCACCAAAAACAAGTTCCCTGTACTGCAATTATGTTAAATAGGTGTTAAAATGACTAAAAAAATTTAATATATAACTTGGAAAATTATTGAATAGTACAACCTTCTTGATATTTACTCCAATTTTAACGAATGTAAGCCCTAGAACCGATTTCTGTATTGGCGGACTAATCTTCCAGCTGGTGAGCAAGCCAAAGCATGTCGAAACAATTTCGTAAGAATTTCGTTAACTGAAATGAAGATTCTTATGGAAGGTAATTCGTTAACCGAAATTTCGTTAACTGAGGGACCACTGTAGTTGTATGTGTATGCACTATTTTCTATAGAAATGGCAATGATTTTCTGTACAGTTAACCCTCACTTTACGCGGTCCCACATTCCGCGTTTCCACGTTTACGCGGTGCCCTGCCGGAACCCAGGATGCTCACATTCCGCGGTGCGTGTACCCCTTTACGCGGAGAGCGGCTGGCGAGCCGCGCCATTTTTGGATCCAAACCTCCCGCCATCCGCCATGTTGTGTAAGCTGCGCGAACATGGTGCGCACAAGGTCGCCCAGTCATCCAAACATTACCAGTTCTTCACCCCCCACCCACCACAGCCGGCCCAAGTCAGTGATAGTGATAATTATGGTGAGGATATGGACTTATATGGACTTTGGGGAGTTTGACAAAGAGGCCCTGCAAGCCTCTGTGGTGGATAGTGATACAATTGATACAAGTGACACAGGTGAGGGCCAATAATCTGCCCTCTGCCTCGGAACCAACCGCCCATCCCCGTGTGCCCAGCCATTTTTTCTACTAATGTAAGTGTTAAAAAACCTAATATTATTGATATTTCTCTTAATTATTAATTGTGTGTGCATACCATCATAAAGTTAAGATAATATTTTTACTACAACATAGTTGTGTGTCGTCAAAAAGTGGAGTTTGGGATCGGCCCGGACTCCATTTCAATTAATCCCATATGTTATGTTATTCACTTTACGCGTTTCTCACTTTACGCGGGACCCTCCGGGTTACATTAACCGCGTAAAGTGAGGGTTAACTGTATATGTACAGTGATCCCTCGGTTAACGAGCGCCTCGGTTAACGAGATTTCGGTTAACGATTTGCCTTCCATAAGATTCTTAACTTCGGTTAACGAGCAATCCCTCGATTTACGAGTTTTTTACGAGCCGACTTCAACATGTTTTCGCTTGCATTTGGCGGTCCACCACCTGTAGTATTAGTCCGCCAATACAGTAATCGGTTTTTGGGCTTAAATTCCTTACTATTTTAGTAAATATCAAGAAGTTTATACTATTCAAGAATTTTAAAAGTTTAATATTAACTTTTTTAGTCATTTTAACAATTATTGAACATAATCGAAGGTAAAGAAACTAGTTTCTGGCGTGCCATCCAGCCCCTTAACACACCAGACAGGCGTTAGTCTCTCTCTGTTTTCAGTGGAGGTAACATCTTGCTTGAGACTCTCTTCAACTGAATGCTTTTTTCTGTGTTTCCAAGCAAATTATTGGTCATTTTGAAATTTATTTTACATATTGACAATATATAATGCAGTGCAGTGTTGATTTAAAGAAAATAATCTTGAATTACACCAAGAGAACTAAAATTTTATGGGTGAAATGGTGCCATGGGGTGACTTCTCTTCCACCCCAATGCCTTCTCTTCTCCCTTCTCCTCCACCCCCATTCTAATTCTCATCATCATCATCATCATCCAGGAGCCTTCTACATACACACCTCAAAGTAAGTGTACTTTTCTACCTTTTTTGTTGAATTTAGGCAATTTTCGGTGAGCTGGAACCAATTACCCAAAAACCCATTGAAACAATGGTTTCGGTTAACGAGTTTTTCGGTTAACGGGCAACCTGCTGGAATGGATTGTGCTCGTTAACCGAGGGACCACTGTAATGTATTTCATGGGCAAAGGGTGGCTGGGGAACGTAACTCCTGTATTTTATCTATTTCTTATGGGGAAAATTGATCCGCTTAACATTGTTTCGTATAATGTCACGTTTTTAGGTACGTATCCCCGACGTTAAGCGAGGACTTACTGTACTATGGAATCAAAGTAAAACAATATTAAAACAAATATCTCATTGTAATGATTTGTGGAATGTTAACATGACGAGTCCCCTATAAATGCACTAGTGAAGGGAACTGTACAGTACACTCTCTCCAAAATTATCTTTATGGAGGGGTCCGATGAATTTAAAAATGAACACCGTGTTGTCTCGGTAAGGTTGTCAAAATCTTGGTCTGTTGTGTCATATTGTCTCACACAAAATCATTAAGATATTTTTTGGAGTGGATGTACAGTACTGTATAGACAATGCAGCTATACAGGTGAACACATACAATATAGACAGTAAATGATAATCAGGCTTGTATGAATATAAGTCACCGTGTATAGTATTCCTAACCTAACCTAGTCTAAGTGGAGGTTTACTTGTAACTCTTATGATGTTATAGTTATTTTAATGAGTGTTCCAGTAATGACCACCACCCAATGTTTCACTTGTTAGGTGAGTTGTGGAAGACAAACTATTGAAAAATTTTAAAAACAAGTGTTTTTTTCTGACATGTGATATTACTGTAAATAGTTGGAAAAATTAACAGGTTTTCTTTATTTTCAAAGTTGATGCAGAAAAATTCATTAAGATATTGATTGAAATCATTTATTACTTCAATTTAAGTGTAAAATCTGTTAATTAGGTGTATTGTACAGGGTAATTTGATTCTTATTCATGACCCCGATAATTTACACAGTACTTTACAGTAGATGAAGTTACTGTACATGTAACTCCACAGTGACCTGGTTTGTTTATACAGTAGTCCCTCGGTTAATGAACACAATTTGTTCCAGAAGGTCGCTCGATAACCGATAATTTCGTTAACCGAAACCATTGTTTCAATGGGACTTTGGGTAATTGGTTCCAGCTCACTGAAAATTACATACAAACTAAAAATAAATGCAGTAAAGTACACTTACTTTGAGGTGTGTATGTAGAAGGCGCCTGGTTGATGATGATGGGAATTAGAAGTGGGGGTGGAGGAGAAGGGAGAAGAGAAGGTGTAATTCAAGATTATTTTCTTTAAATCAACACTGCACTGCACTATATATTGTCAATATGTAAAATAAATTTCAGAATGACCAATAATTGTACTGTAAAAACTTAAAAATAGTTCATGTTCAAGAGAGCCGCAAGCAAGATGTTACCTCCACTGACCAGAGATACAAACTGATGCCTTGGTGGGAGAGTCAAGTGGCTGATTGGCGCACCAAAAACTAGTTTCCTGTACTGCAATTATGTTAAATAAGTGTTAAAATGACTAAAAAATTTAATATAAAGCTTGGGAAATTATTGAAAAGTACAACCTTCTTGATATTTACTCAAATGGGAACGAATTTAAGCCCTAGAACCGATTACTGTATTGGCGGACTAATCTTCCAGCTGGTGAGCAAGCGAAAACATGTTGAACATGATTTCGTAAGAATTTCGTTAACCTAATTTTTGTTCGTTAACCGAATTGAAGATTCTTATGGAAGGTAATTCGTAAGCCGAAATTTCGTTAACTGAGGGACCACTGTAATGTATCATCACATAATATTTCTTTGAACATTTTGAGTTGCTTGATTTCCCAGCTCATAACAGGTGATTTTCAACACTTGTTACAGGTATTACATCAGGTAGGAGTAAGAACGAGCAGCCATGAGGAACTTAGTGCTGGTTAACCAGAAAAGCTGGAAGGTTCCCACTGGTAATCCGGGTATATTCTGTATAGACGCCATCACCAGGTCTATATACCACATCAACAGTGAAGAGGTTTATTGCTTCAAGATTGTAAGTGTATTGTATTGTACATGCTCTTTTTATGTTTGAAATTTCAAAATAAATTGTAAGGTTTTGTAAAACTCTAGCTTGTATAATTTTGAGCATTTTCTTAGCTCGCTGTTTTTTTTAACAATATTTATCTTAAGAATACCTGTAAGGTACAGTAGTCCTATAAATTCATTTTCAAAATTTTTCATGTACAGTTGGGTCTTCATTTACGCGATCAATTGAACCCGTGGAGTACTGTGTAAAACGAGAAATGCGTGAATTAAATAACAGAACATTTGGGATTAATTGAAATAGAGACTTGGCCGACCCCCAAACTCCACTTTTTCCGACACACTACGTACGTTGTAGTAAAAATAACATCTTAATTTTATGATGGTATGCTCACATAATTAATAATTCGGAGAAATGTCAATAATATTAGGTTTTTTAACACTTACGTTAGTAGAAAAGCTGGGTCGGCACACATGGATGGCGGCTGGTTCCGAGGCAGAGGGCAGATTAGTTGCCCTCCGGTGAATCACTTTCAAACTCGCAGAGGTTTGCAGGGCCTCCCAGACAAACCCCTCAAAGTTCATATCGTCACTATCACTGACTTGGGCTGGCTGTGGTTGTGGTGGGTTGCGGGCGAGGAAGTCCTCAATACTACTTTGGCAACTAGCATTGATGTTGTCGAGATAGATCTGGATATACGGCTCCATAAATTTCGTCAGATGGTTATTAGACACTTCATACCGATGTTTGTCTGGTTCGTTGTCAAGGATGAGCTTAAGTTTCTCCCCCAACTTGATGATTTCCTTCACATTATCATGGCTTGGTCCAGGTAATTCAATGTTTTTCTCTGGTGGTGGGGGTCCTGCGGCAGCCATTGTGAGTTGTGAGGGGAATAGCGGGCACAAGAGAGAACTGTATACGCGGACTGAGAACAATGAGACAGGCCCTGCTAGGTCAGCGACTTCTTCCCTCCCGTGGCAGGGCACGTCATATTACATTAAACCAATCACAGCTAGCGGAGGAGGGAGGTAAGGATGCGTGGCCCAATCACAGTCCGATACGTCATATGACATCACCGATAACGCAACAGCGACATACTGCGCAACCTTACTTGCGCCGCTTACCCTCGCTTTGGTCAAGCATGGCGGGAGGTTTGAATCCAAAATGGCACGGTGCGGCTGGACTGCCAGTTGCTCTCCACGTAAATGACCAAATTTACTGCATAATTAAAGCATTTCAATTCTGGCAAGGCACCGAGTAAATGACCAAACACGTAAACCAAAACCGCGTAAATCCACACTCAACTGTACTGTACTGTGGTTTGGTTTTGTGCTTTCTGTATATATGACCTGCACTCTCTGTGAGGGAATAAATTGTTAAAATCTCTACAGATGATGAAAATGTGTTATTGAATGTATTGTATGAAAAATTCTCTACTTTTCTTTTTATACTCTATGATTAGGTTATAGTTTTTAGTCACACTCCTTTTCAGTACTGTATTTATTGATTGGCTGACTAGCTGATTTTCCCTCGGTACAGCACAGTATATCAGAAACAGCTCCTCCTTTTCATAGTCACTAAGTTTATTCTTGCTAACCTAAAACCCAGCACAACTGAACACACTCCAGCTAAATAATAGATGCAACAAGTTTTTGGGGAAATTAATCTACGTGTCAATTTTACAGGGTGATTGTGGTACCGACTCCCTTTTGGCAATCACTTGGAAGGATCATGATATCTGCACATCAAACGTAATCGCAGCAGATGTTATCACGGCCAATGATTGCATCTGTGTGGTGACGGGGGATGGAGACGTGATCACAGTTGACAAAGAGACACAGGAGGTAAGATCATCAGAGTATGAATGGTAGGATGTAGTGAATAATGTGTGAGAACAATACTGCTAAATGTCCTCTCTTTTTTTTCTGGATAGTTAAGGATTTTACTGCACCATGTCATCTAGTAATCATGGCTAACCGCACTAACGTAGCTGGGGGCCCGGGCGGCACTTTTGGGTCTGCTCATCACCCATATCTGCAGCTACTGGAGACGTTAATCCATCCCTTTGTATCGGCGGCAAGTTAATCCTTGTCGTGTCTGACCTAACACCTGACCCACATCATCACGGCCACGTCATGAGCTACACCCTTGCTATGCGCCCCCCGCCACACACACAACCTGTAACCTGTTGAGGATTAAGGAAACAACTTCAAACAAGTACGCCAGTGAGCTCATGTGGTGTGGGTCAGGTGTTAGGTCAGACACGACGAGGATTAACTTGCCGCCGATACAAAGGGAAGGATTAACGTCTCCAGTAGCTGCAAAACCATGCAGTCTCGGGTCATATCAGTTCATGTACAGCCGACCAATCCACCAGTTACAAGCAATTCACTTCAGTTCTGCACAAGTCTCCATCGTGACAAGACGAGGGGAGGCTAGACGACTTTTAAGTTCTCTTGTGTTTTCGATCCAGTTATTTACTTCGTTGGAAGACATAATACTATAAGGTAAGAAATATTAAAGTATTGGTTAAAAAATATTGATGTGACTTTTGCTGCGGTACTGAGATTAAATATTAAGATTTTGTTTCACAGCATTGCGATTTTATACTAAGACACTATCCTCACTGGGGTACAGACAAAAGCCCCCCCGACAAAAGCCACCCAGACAAAAGCCCCCCAGACGAAAGCCACCCAGACAAAAGCCCCCTACTTTGATCGGGGTGGCTTTTGTCTGACAACAGTAAGGGCTTTCAAAAGTTACGGACATAATTAAATAGTTGAGGGTAAAATATACTGTTCTTCTCTGTGGTTAATTATTGGTTAGGTTAGGGTTAGGTTAAGTTAGGTTAGGTTGGGTTAGGTTAGGGTTGTCAGACAAAAGCCACCCCGATCAAAGTAGGGGGCTTTTGTCTGGGTGGCTTTCGTCGGGGGGGCTTATGTCAGACATCCATTTTCACTGTACTCTGAGTCTGTAATTTTAGATTAAGTTGCTACTTTTTTACATTTCCATTGTATTTTTTGTGGGGGCACGGGGGGGGGGCAAACTCATGGGCTGCCCCGGGCGGCACACACTCTAGCTACGCCACTGGCTAACCGACACAAGTGTGGAAGATGATCAGAAAACGGTGATGACGTCTGTTTTGGATGGATGAATGCTGAGAAGATATTATATTTTGTTTTTAGTACTCTTTGGTCTTAATATTACGACAGTACTTGGTGTTTATTACAGTTCCGTACTTGTGAGTTTCTTGAAGGATCAGGGATGAGTAGTGTTTGGTGCTGTGACTGTTTGAATCATGAAGTGGAACTGACTCATTTATCCCTGAGGGTTTGGTCATAGTAATACATAACCACTTTGTTCACCTTTCTAAATTCCTTTGGAAGTTTTTTAGACAATGGGAGTCAGTCTCTCTCCTCGAGTGAAGCAAAACAAATTTAGACGTGTGAAGCAATTTACAGCTGTTTTCCGTGCTTGTGTGGGTTAGCTGTTATTACTTAATGGCTTGGTGTCCCACTTGCCATCAGGAAAATCTGAATAGTACAGTACAGTATTAAGGTAATGTCTATTTTGTGGGGATCCAGATTATTTAAAAGAATTAGCTATATTGTGGAAACTGTTGGCTTAATCAATCTGTTAGTTCATGTGTGAGAAATTTCTCATTGCCTGATCAATGTGGCTTTAATTTACCACAATAACCCGTGATATAAAACTAGATTGTACTGTATTTTCACCAGACTGATGAATAATATTAAATTTATCCGTTTGTGCTGTATCTCCAGATCCTTTGGTACAGTACTTGTGATAATGTTAATGGTGGTAGTTAACCTTCTTTTCCCCAGTGTTTCCAGCTTTCATGATTTTTATCTACGACACCTCACTCCTGCCATCTGTAAGCCTCCAGGCTGCCCTCTCACTATATTTCGCCTTTGCTCTCTCTGTGTTCCTATAGTCAGCTCCTGTTCTCTACCCAACACACTTGCTTTATTGCCCCTGTGTTCTTTTCAAATGTCCAAACTACTTCAGTAGACCTTTGCTCATTCCAGGCCTCCACACCTCACATCCTCTGCCTTCTCTACCATTTCAAACATTCCATTACTTCACTACAGTATTTCATTAAACCCAGATGTAGCTCTCAGGGAATTCATCTCGGTAGTAAATGAAATGTGTATTTAAATATTTTGTCTACTACTGTGGGTTTCTCCTCATGCATATTTGCTCACATTATGGTGACTCTCCAGCCATCTGAGTGACTCTGAAGCTTAAAATTTGAATATTCTGGTTCATTCCAAGTCCACATTTCACCGCCATAAGTGAAAGTAGGAAGTATCAAACAACTGATAACTCAGAGTGTTTTCTTTACCTCTAAGCTTGCCGTACCTGCCTTCCCTTAGTGGTACTTCTCAGCTCATAGCCTATCACCTTCCTAAATTTCTCACTTAACATCACTCCAGTATCTCGTTCATCAGTAATTTTACTTGTTAAATTTGCTACACCAAATCCCAGCATCTCAAAAACCCTTACTATAATCTTCTTATAATAAATATTTGTGTTCACATATTCAAGTTGTTGAAAGAATGTGACTCAACTAATGAAGAAGAGGTAGGAAAGGGTAGCTAGTGTGTGTGTTTGTGAGCAACAGAGGTGTTCTTGTAGGAAAAGGAAAATCATTGTGAATGTGTTTTGACGAATAATATTTTGTTCTTTGTTAAACTGGTTTAGTAGAATAGACACACAGTTGTTTATATTGCAGGTGGAGGTCGTCGGGAGTGTTGATGCTGGGATACATGCTGCTTGCTGGAGCCCTGATCAAGAACTTCTCATTCTAGTGACCAATAATGCAAAAGTAGTAGTTATGACAGCAATTTTTGATGCCATTGCTGAATATTCCCTCAATCAAGATGACTTTGGAGAGAACAAATTTATCAATGTTGGGTGGGGGAAGAAAGAGACTCAGTTCCACGGTTCAGAGGGTAAAGAAGCAGCCAAGGTTGTGAAGCGTACAGTTAAAGCGGTCCATCCTTTAGATGACCGCAGGCCACGAATTAGTTGGCGAGGTGATGGCCAGCTCTTTGTAGTAAGTTATGTTAGACAAGATACAGATAGTCGTTGTCTTCGAGTGTTCAACCGAGAGGGAATCTTACAGTACACCAGTGAAGATGTGGATGGGTTAGAAAATGTTGTCTCCTGGAAACCCTCAGGTAGTTTGATTGCCTCTTCCCGGAGGCTTTCAAACAAGCATGAGATAATATTTTTTGAAAAAAATGGCCTTAAACATGGCGAATTTCCTTTGCCCTTCAAATCCACTGAGATGCTTCTAAAAGATGTTGCCTGGAATCAAGATTCTAATATTCTTTTAGTTTGGCTGAAGCCTATTGAAGGAACTGAGAGGTGGCACTCAGCAAAGTCTGTTATTCAATTATGGACAGTTGGGAACTACCATTGGTACCTTAAACAAGAGCTGAGTTTCAAAGAAGAAGTAAGATATTTATCTTGGGATAATGAGAACCCTCTCCTGCTACATCTGCTAACTCTTAACCATCTCCACCACTACACTTGGGTGGTAACTACCAACAAGTCCTGTGGGTTTGGTCCTTTAGATCTTGCTCATGTTGCAGTGATTGATGGCCAAAAATTACTCATGACACCATTCAGGCAGTCAGGCATACCCCCTCCAATGTCAGCATATGAGATAACATTCACAGGGCAGATAAATGCTGTCATGTTTGCTCCACCAGTTGTCAAGGTCTGTGAAGCTTCGCCAGATAACTCTCAGTGTGTCGAAGATTCAGGGTTTCTTGAGACTTTAGATCCCCCTGGTTGTAATAGTAACAACCTTTGTGTATTTCATGGATCAGAAACTTTAACATTCTTAACCCAGGCTCATGCTGATGATATTCTAGATGATTATGGCTGTGGTGTGAGGGTAACTGGTGCTGGAGGAAACGGCTACTCCGTTCAGGTCAAAGTTCACAGAGTAATTGCTCAACACAAAATAGAATGGGACCCTGAACAGATTATGTTGGACTTAGAATTCTCTAAATTTTGCAGCTGGGTCTGGGCAGCAAAGAACACTCTTCTAGCGTGTTACAAGACAGACGATGCTTGTTCTGTTGTAATTATGGATCTTCAGGGTATAGGATCTGAGCCAGCACAAGTAATAGTAAAGGCAGTCTTGCCCACAGAAGTCTCAATCGTCAGTATTTCTCCTGCTCCTGATGGTACTGTTGCTGTCCTTCAACTTGAATGTGGATCACTACTTAAACTTGATTTGCAGACACGGATGATTGAACCTTTATGTGTAAATGGAAAAGATATTAGATTTCCTAGTGTCTGTGAGCAAGTCAGTCTTTGTCCAGTCAAAGATGGGTCACAGTTTATGCCCTTAGGGTTAACTTGTAGAAATCGATTATATTGGGGATATAATCAACTTTTAGCCAACTGCACATCATATCACATCCACACCGATCATTTGCTGGTGACGACAACCAACCACATCCTTGAAGTGATGCCTCTTATGGAAAGTTACATGAGTAAACGAGTGGCAGGAGGTGCAGAAGACTGTGGTGTAGCAGGGTCACGAAAAGTAGAAAGAGGATCCCGTATTGTGACGGCCGTGCCTCAGGATACCCGAGTGGTCCTACAAATGCCTCGAGGCAATCTTGAAGTAGTGAATCCTCGCCCCCTGGCAATTCACACACTGAAACAACTCCTAAATGAGCACAAGTACTATCAAGCAATGGACATTATAAGAAAGCAACGAGTAGACTTGAATCTAATATATGATCATAATCCAGCAGAATTTCTGGCAAATATTACTCACTTTGTGCAAAATGTTGATAATCCTCATCGGATAGACTTATTTATAGCTAGTTTGAGTGAAGTTGATTTTACTACTACAACGTACTCTTTCAACTACAGTAATCGACAGCATCATGATAACAAAACCGAGGCGTCGGGTGGTAAGATTGACATGGTGTGTGAAGCTCTTCGAGAGGCAATGATTTCTGTTGACGAGGAAAAATTTCTCCTGCCGATTCTGACTTCATATGTTAAAATGACAAGCAGTCAGATGGATGTTGCTCTGAAAAAGATCCAAGAAATAAAGGATATAAAGGACAAGAAGTTTAAGGTATCTGCAGAGGAAGGACTGAGACATCTACTCTACATTGCCGATGTTAATGAATTGTATGATGTTGCCCTCGGGACATACGACTTTGATCTAGTCATGATGGTTGCTGAGAAGTCCCAGAAGGATCCCAAAGAATATCTCCCTTTCCTGAATGAACTGAAACAATTTGAAGAAAACTATAGAAAATTCAAGATCAATGTATACCTGAGGAGGCATCAGAAGGCCTTAGAATGTTTGAGGGACTCAGATGATCATGCTGAGGAATGTCTTAATCTTATTGTGTCAGAAAAATTATACAAGGAAGCTTTACAAATATTTCCTCCATCTTCTGAAATGAACAAAGCTGTCTGTGAAAGGTATGGGATTTATCTCATGGCAAAACAGTACTACAATGAAGCGGGAGTCATGTACACACGTGCCGACAAGCTTGACGATGCTCTAAATGCTTACCAGAAGGCTGGAAACTGGAAAATGATCCTTATTGTTGGAGCACAGCTTAATTTTAATAATGAGGAGATGAATGTTCTCTGTTGCACTCTAGTGGAATCCCTTAAAAACAGGAATAATTATGTAGATGCTGCATGGGTTTATGAGGAATATCTTAAAAATGAAGAGGAGGCACTGGACTGTCTAGTAAAAGGTAGTCAGTGGGATGATGCACTCAGAGTGGCTTATAAATATCATCGCTTAGATCTTGTGGACACCAACATTAAGCCAGGTGCTGAAGAACAGTACAGGTTTTGCACAGCAGAAATAGAGAGGTTGGCGAGTATATTTACACAATACTGTTCGAGACTTGCTGTTGTGCGGGAAAGTAAAGAGAAGCAGCACCTTGATATGTTAGAGGGAAATTGTGAAGGTCAGCTTGATTGTGATCTCTATTCAGACACAAGTACAGTTACAGGAATGTCTTATTCTAGAAGTCATGCCACTGGCTCTCGTACTGGAACCTCACACACGGGGAAAACGTTTCGTTCCTCAAAAAACAAAAAGAAATTAGAACGAAAGAAATTTAGCACAAAAGAAGGAGGTGCATATGAAGATCTAGGGCTAGTTTCTGCTCTTTACGAATTGCTTACTACAGCTAATGGTATGACTGCATCTGTCATGGCTCTGTGCACCATTTTAGTCACCTTCAAGATGGATCGTGAAGCTATTTGTCTTCAGACAAGTTTTTCTGCTCTTCTGACACTAATGGATAGAAAGAAAGCTGAAATATGGCCTGCATCAGTGCCCTTACACAATGAGGAACCTGAATTTGGTCCTCAGTTAACTACGGAAGGAGTGGTAAACAGGATTAGAGGTGGTGGTAATGGTGATGTGTCCTTTGTGGCTCAACGAATGAGGGAGTTAGACCCTCATCTCAGGCACCCCCCACCAGTGAACAGACTGTCCAACTGGAGTTTGTATATGCTTAGATAAGGTAGATAAGAGTCTCTCATAGGTAAACTTTTATGATTATCTTTGCTACATTTTTTATTTTAGAATTGTGGAATATAAGGAAAAACAATTAATACTGCATTGCCATGCACACAAGAATTTTTTTAAAGGAATAGCTGTAGAATTTTATCTGAAATATTGATTTTGGTTATGTAAGTAGTGCACTTGACAGGTAAGGAAGAGAGAAAGTAAGGTTTGGTGTATAATTACATCTATCAGAGTAAAACAATTTAAGTACAAATTAAGTAATATTGTTAATTTCCAGAAAGACTAGTATAACTTCCCACTAGCAAGGGGAATAGTGCAGAAAATTCATGGAAGAGAAGGTGTGGAGGTAGTTGATGAAGTTTGGAAATATAATGCCAAAGTGTAATGAAGGAGTTATAGCCACAAAAAAGTAACCAATTTCCTTTTAATGTGCTGTACTGTATTTATTAAAGATATGAGTATTCTTATATAATAAAAATATAATAATATTTATTCAGTCCAATCTTCATACATGTTTACAATTACCTTGGCAAGCATACTGTATATACTATGCTGGCAAACAGTTCAGCACGTGTATAGACAATGCAGGTACTGTATATACTGTACAGGTACTCCTCGACTTTCGACCACCCTGACATACGACTGCCGCAGTCGTAGCAAAATTTTGTCAAATTACGTATTTTCGAGTCCCGACATAAGTGAGTGTGCTGTGTACTGACAAAATTTTTGTTTGTAATTCCCTTTAAATTGGCTGGCAAGCATAAAAGTGAGAGTTTCGTAGTGCTGAGAATAAAAAGAGACACCCATTTCAGATTTTCTATGTATTATTTTCGCATTTTCGACTTACGACCCGGATGTCGGTCCCTAACCCCGTCGTAAGTCGGGGACTGACTGTATACAGTCAACCCTCACTTTACGCGGTTAATTCAACCCACAGGGTACCGCGGAAAGTGAGAAACGCGTAAAGTGAACAACATAACATTTGGGATTAATTGAAATAGAGACCGGGCTGACCCCCAAACTCCACTTTTTGACGACACACAACTATGTTGTAGTAAAAATTTTATCTTAACTTTATGATGGTATGCACACACAATTAATATAGAAGAGGTTAGGTTAGGAAAAATAAAGGTTAGGTTAGGAAAAATAAAGGTTAAGTTAGGAAAAATAAAGGTTGGGGTTAACACTTACGTTAGTAGAAGAGATGGGTCGGCGTACGGGAATGGAGGCTACTGGCCCTCAGGTGAGTCACCATCACTGTCATCCACACTTGTCAGGGCCTCCCTGATAAATCCCTCAAAGTCATCATCACTATCTCTACCTCTGTCACTATCACTGGCTTGGGCTGGCTGTGGTGGGTTGCGGGCGAAGAACTCTGTTATGCTTTGCTGACGGCTGGTGTTTATGTTGTCGTGATAAACCTTGAAGTAGGGCTCCATAGTCTGCAACAGCTGGGCAGTGAAGATTTCATACCTGTTTGTGTCAGGGTCGTCGGAAAGGAGGAGCTTGACTTTCTCGATACACTCGATGGCACCCCTAACATTACTATGGGATAAGCGGTGTTCTTCTTGGGATGATGCACCACCTCCCTCTTCACTGATGTCATCATCATCTACCGTCTCGTCGGTAGTCACATCAGGACCCCTTATCACCTCCAGGATGTCGTTGTTGGTGGTCTCGGAGAAGCCTGCAGCTGTAACACTCTGCGCAGCTTCTCTGGCAAGGTCCACTGCTACTGCAACAGTCTGAACCTCACTAGTCACAGATTGACTCTGCCTAACGGCCGGAATGCCTTGCAACACATGTCTCCATGCGTGACAAACAGTTGCTACAGACAGCTGATCCCATGCCTCCACCAAGAAGTCCACAGCTTTCTTGATGTTGAATATTCTCCAGAATTGTTTTAAAAGTACTTGTTGCTCTGCCAACTGTTGATCCTCGTCGTCTTCGCTCTTGCTATTGGTGGTGGTGTCACTCAGGTTACTCAACTCTTCCCTGGTGTTGGTGTAGTCGTTCAGGAGCTTGAATTTTTTAGTAGAGAATGCAGCTTTTACATTACAGATTAACTCTTGGTCCATGGGCTGTAATATAGACGTAGTGTTGGGAGGAAGGAAGACCACTTTTACGTTGGGGTGACGATCTAACAGTAGGGGCGAGTGTCCTGGTGCGTTGTCCAGCAGCAACAAAATCTTGAATGGCACATTCTGTTGCTCACAGAATTTCTTCACATCGGGAACGAAAGAGTCATCAAACCAGGAGAGGGACAGTGTAGAGAACATCCACGCCTTACGTGTGGTCAGCCAGTGGACATTTAGCTTGATCATGTCCATGCTCTTGTAGGCGTGCGGCTTGCGTGCTGTGTGGATCACCGATAACTTGAGCTTACAGGTGCAGGAGGCATTGGTGGTAAACAGGACGGTGATGCTCTCCTTCTGCAACTTCCGGCCCCGAATCTTGCTGGCATTCTTCACAACGAAGGTCTTGGAAGGTAGCTTTTTCCAAAAAAGACCAGATTCGTCCATGTTAAACACCTGGTCGTCGGTGTACTGTCTTTCCTCCATAATCTCAAGTAAAAACAGAGGAAATTCCCTAGCCGCAACACGGTCAGCACTAGTTTCTTCACCACCAATGTTGATATTGGTGATCTTGTTCCTCTTCTTAAACCTCTGTAACCACCCAGAGGAAGCATTAAAGGGTTTGGGCTCTGTAATTCCCATCTTTCGTGACACTGCAGCATACAGTTCACATGCGTACTCCTTAACAGAGCGCGTGTCGACCGCCATGTTCCGTCGCGCCTGACGCACCAAGTAGCTCACAAGTAATTTTTCCGTCTTGAGAAGCACCTGGTTGTGGAAATACTTGATCATAGAAGCACCTGTAGACTTTGTGATGTTCATGTGCTCCTTTATCTTGGCTGCATCCTTCTTTATCGTCCAGATCGTAGATTCGTTCACACCATGCTGGCGCGCCAAATCAACCTGTCTTGTTCCTTTCTCCAACTCTTGGATGATCTTGTACTTCACCTTGCAGCTTAAGGAACGTCGTGTCTTCTTTGGCTTAGGGCGGCTGGGTCCAGGTAAGGAAAGGTTTTTCTCTGGGGGCGGTGGTCCGGTGGAAGCCATTTTACAGAACAATGGATGCACGATTACACGGTGTGGCCTGGAGGGATGAAATTGCCGCGGCTAGGTCAAGCGTCGTCTTTCCTCCCTCCCTCCCTCGGGTGGACACGTCATATTACTGTAAACCAATTACAGCTAGCAGCGGAGGGAGGTAGGGATGCATGGCCAATCACAGTCCGATACGTCATATGACGTCACTGATAATGCAACAGAGACATGCACTGCACAACCTTACCGCGCGGCTTGCCCAGGCAGAGGCGGGAGCAGGCGAATCTAGAAAATAGCGTCGAGCCAGTCACTCTCCGCGTAAAGGGGTACACGCACCGCGGAATGTGAGCATCCTGGTTTCGGCAGGGTACTGCGTAAACGTGGAATGTGGGACCGCGTAAAGCGAGGGTTGACTGTAGTTTATAATATAATCAGGACCTCAGTCAGCGGAGCCTTGTATGCAAAGTCACCTCCCTCTCCACCTCCTACTCGGGTTATTTTTGCTGAGCGTCGCATTCATGAGTTTGAACAAAAAGCCATTTTTTCTAAAAACCAGTTTTTGTGATATAGCTCGAATGCGACGTCCATAACCCACCCATCTCCATCCCTCGATAGTTGACTTTTAATTACTGCTCTCTTTGAGGCAAGAGATGAGCTTCGCAGTGCGCATAGTGGCTGGATGAGGGAAGAACTTTGAAAATAGCAATTAAATGCCAGGTAGCGACGTGTCCTCCTAATATTACTTATTAAGTAATTATTAGATGTTTTAATTGCCTGTATGTTGGCCTGGCGAATTGGCTAGGAATTAACATACCAAGGTAGCATTTGCTGAGCGTCGCATTCGAGCTATATCACAAAAACTGTTTTTTTAGAAAAAACGGCTTTTTTGATGTCTCGGTAGCGGGTTCAGTCTTTCCAGACGAACTTTAGCCAGGCTGCTAGACTTAGCGTTCCTTCCGGAATGTTGACCTTCCGGTCTTCCTAGCAATCTAGAGTTATGTTGAAATGGACTTTACATCCTTCTATGGGTTATATGAGAACAATTCAGGGTGGAATTCTCAACCCAATAAATATTGCTAGAGTAAAGGTGAACGTTGTTGCCAATAGAGCGCTATGTTAGCGTCTGAGCACTGTCAACCCTGCCGGGTGATAGTGCGCACGTAGGAATTTTCCCTTAAGTTTTTAATTGGGGGATAATGTCTGTGCCCCTGATTGGCAACAAATAAAGATCTTGATGATCCCTCTAAATAAAATGTTCTGAATGAAATTATTTTATAAAAAAAAAAAAAAATCATTGAGTTAAGGGATACTTGATATAAGAGTCGGGAGGGAGATACGACATAGTGAGTTATTTGTTTATAATTGTCAAACGAGTGACTTGTATATCCATAAGAGATCTTAATGAATTAACTTACGGTACTAATAATATAACATTTATGAGTCATATTGATTAAGTTTGGGAGAAAATGCTTTCTCCCTTATTTTTTTATAATGATATAATGTGACTCGGTGTCCTCCTAGTTCAGATGAGTGATGTGCAACTGGAGGATGAAGGTCAGGAGTCCAGGCCTATGGATGATGGAGGAGACTATGGAACTGTCCCTGAGGAGATACTATTGAGTGATGAGCTACAAGGACTAGAAAGTTCAGCTCAGGCACTACATTCAAGGAATTGTCTGTCAGTAGAGAATTTGAATTCAGTAGTAGTAGTTTCACCCAAGACCCAAGGGGGCCATACTACATGTAATTATAAAAAATGTACAGCGACTTGGATTACTAAGATAGATCCTCATGTGGCTTGCATAATTCATGGCAGCTGTGTCTCAAATAACCTATTTTCACCAATGGATTGTGCAGTTTGTTATGATCAAATTTTTCAATTTCATCAAGCTACAGGTGATAAGAAAGATTTATTGCAATTACAAATTAAAAATAGGTGGAATAAGGCCTTGAAGAGTAAATTTTTGAATGTACAACAATGGAAAGATCCCAAGATGGCAGAAAGTTTAGGTTTATTGGTGTTAGGTAAAAGACTTAATCCCCACTTAGACAAGCCTGCTTCTGCTAAGAAAAATAAGTTATTGGACCCTCCAGACAATGGGGCAGTAGGAAGTCTACAAAAACCTCTATCTACTCAATCTGATCTCAGTTGATTCCAGGATCAGGACGATGAGCCTGGTTCTAATTATAGTTCAGTATTCAGTCTCTTGAGCAGGAAGAACCTGTTGAGACTTACTTCATCCTATCCACATCTTGGCAACCACTTCGACCTGGGGCAAAAGTGTTGGTTACTATGAGTGGAAACAGGCTGCTGTCGACTGCCACACAGCTGCTGGATAACATTGAGTGTAAAGGTGATCCTAACAGGCCATGGATAACATTGGTAAGACCTAAGTCTTCTTTGTTTTCTACTACATAAGAATCTGTGGATTCCTTATTCAAAATATTTTATGAAAATGTCTCTAAGCTTCTTGATATCTCAGCAACTACAAAGAGACAGGAAGGACAAGCAACTTTGGGTCATCATTCTTTGTTTTTGGAGGGTGATACTACACTTTCTTGGCCTGACATTTGCCCAAAGATGATCTCTGAAGTAGATGAATTCTGGGCTAATTTATTGAAAGACTTAACATTCATTCCCG